GGGGTTGGACTAGAAGACCTTCAAGGTCCCTTCCAACTCTATTGTATTGTATTGTATTGTATCATATCATATCGTATTACTTATAGCAATATAAAAATATTTCTTTCAAGTCAGAATCAGTATCTTCCTGGGCATATTTATGTAGTTTTCTTAGCAGCAATATGAAACTGCTTTGCAGCTGCCATTTTCTGAGGTGTTTTCATTTTTATTTTTTCTCAGTCCCAAAGTTTTGGGGTTTTCTATGATCCCCATTCAAATGCTATCAGGCTTGCTTAGCTTTTGGAGACCAGCTGAGCACAGTCAAATGCTGCCCCTGCTGAGATTGGTTACCTACAAAGCTTTATTTTAAAAATACTTTATGTAGGAATTAAAGATTAGTGTCTAAATTCAGATCACAAAAAGAGACCAGCTATACGACACAGACTCTCTGTACTATAAAAATTACAGTAGCTTTCCCCAAGGGATCATGACTGGATAGCATACTTTTAAATAAATGGATCTGGTGCATGTTGTATAAATCGAACTGCAGAAGCTACCATTGTAATTATGAAACAAGATATAAAGATTCTATTTGGAAAGGATATATTATGCATATCTTTGATATTACCAGCCAGATAATTAAAGACAATTGGGAAGAGGAAAAGATCATTTGCCATTTGTTCCTCCAGGTCTAAGCAGATTATTACAAGGCTATTGGGAATGTATGCCTGAATCTTAACAAATGTAAATTAGCTATGGATGATTATAATAAATTATAGTTACTTTTTATTGAAATGCTTATATTTTATGTATGTACTGTATGTATGTATGCATGTATGCATGTATATATATATTTACAGTATCTAACTCATATAGCCACCAATCTCCCAAGCAAATGATTCTGGACAGCATACAACAAAACTAAACACGTTTGGAATTTTGATATATATTTATGTATATACAAATATATCTGTATCTTTTAAAAAAATTATAACTTTCTGTGGTATTTATTTTTGTTTTATATTCAGTTAATAAAAACATTAAAAAAAATAAAAGCTACTACCCTGAGTGTTTAAAATATGTGCATTCAAAAGTATATGTAGGTATGAAGCGCTGGCTGTCCATATCTCTCACAAATGAAGACAAATATACGTGTCCAAGGATAATGTTGCAGGATCCAATTTGAGTCAGTCACTGGGCCAAAGGTTTATTTGTCCAAGCTTTTGGGCTCATGCTGGAAGTTTCCTGATGATTGGCTCCAACATGGGTCTGAAACTTTAGAAAAATAATTTTTTGCTTCCGGTGACTGATTCAGATTTGATCTTGTATATGCGGGAATCGGCAAGATTGCTGTCCAAATAGGACATTATGCTTGTATCAAATAAGCATTAATCAACCCATTTATTTCCAGTTCCATTTTTCTTGATTTGAGCCTACAGTATTTGAGGAAATTATAAATTACTTAAGGCAGTGAACACAAATAATACTCCTTTCTCCTCCTGTTTTCCCCAAAACAACAACCCTGTAAGGTGGGCTGATAAAGAATGACCGGCCCAAAGTCATCTAGATGGCTTTCATGCCTAAGACAGGTCAAAAGTAGATTTTGGCACCAGGCAGAGATGTTTTTATTCTTTCAGTACTTCTAATACTAATATTTATTTATTTTGCATTGGAGTCTTTTAATAAACCTTATTTCCATTGTTTCAGGTTTTCCAACTAACAAATATTTAATCTGATTAATTGATACATTTGAACACCAGTTTGGTCCAGTGACTAAGTTTGGTCTGATAGTTATTAGGAATCTGTATTTTCTGATTTGGCTCATAATATCAATAGATATAGGCTCATAAGGTGTTCTAGAAAAATGTTTTCTTTTGAAGAGCAATACAGAATCCCTTAAATCAGATACATTGAAAATGTTTCTGGAATTCTGCAGTACATTTCAAATCACCTGCTCCTAAATCAAGTTTTTCTTAGCAACTGTTGTTGCATATACCTATTAACATATCTTTCTGCCATAATAGTTGTCTCCTTTTATTTCCACTGCAGCTTTAGCCTAGAATTACAGCATTTGTATTTAGGCCAACAACATAAACAAAAATGTAGGCTAATTAGCAGGCTGTGTATTTCAACTGAGAATTGATTTGTCACCACAGATGGTGACAGATGACAGACACCCTCTCTGCTTCAAACTTCCTATTTAAAATGATCTGTCTGGGTTGGTGATTGATGTTAAGCTCTCTGCACACTAACTATTCCATCCTGCTCATTAATTAAATACTGTTTTTTTTATTGAAAGTTGTATGTGGTGCCAAATCCTTGACCATAATCATAGACTACTATGTCTCTCTGTGTGTATATGTGTGTGCGTTTATGAATACTTGTATAAACAGGATGCTCAAACAATTATTTTAGTCCTGATAGTGCCCAACACTGGTTCTGTACATCTCTGCCATTTTATGCCATGCTTTGTTTGATTTGAAGGGGGCAACTATGGCCTATCTATCTCAAGGGAGCCCCTATGCGTGTCAATTATTTTGTATGACTGTTGTCCTATGAAGACGGATTATCACTGCATGAGAAGAATGTAGACCAGAATATGCAACTAATTACATTGGGAGATCAGTAGAAATCAGAAACTTCTCAATCATTCCCAGTTTACCTGCTAGGATCAACCTATCTTACCTGCCATTAACACTCAGTACACCTTTTGTAAAAACATAGAATCTGTTTCTTCCACACTTCTAGAGACACTTTCTGGACTCTGAACCCAAACTTCCCAGAGGATTGTTTGGTTAGTTTTCATAATACATTTGGCTCTTTGCAAGTAACACACATATGAGCACATAATATGTATTTGAACTAAAAAATTCCAGGACTACAGTATTTTTTTTAACAGGAAAAGGCTGTTTACTCATATTTATGAAAAGATTAGAAGGCTTGCTATTCTCTGTTTTTTCAAAGAAAGATCCCAGTAAAATTTTAATGTCTAGTTTCTGAAAATTATAAAAAGGAAAAGCACTGAGGAAAGACAGCTACATGGAAGCAGATACTTGTCATAAGATACTTTCTCACAGAATCATTGACAATTCAGTTGATTACACATGCAGAAATGAAAATATGCCTATTTTGTATTTCAGTTCCCCGGTTACTGACAGAAAATAAAAGGCTTGGGTTTGGAATCTTTATACTGTATCATATTTGAATTACAAGAAGTACTATATAGAATATTTTTTAAAATCTGCTTTTTAAATTGTTATTTTTATTTTTGACCTGGACATTGCTTTCAAAACTAGTTACTTGCTAAAAATTTATTTGTGTTATATATGAGTTATAAATAAATCAGGAGGTATACGGTATATGGAAGTGGGAGCGCTTTTAAGTCTTGGCAAGGTGATTTGGAATTGCTTTGTGTCTAAGATGGGACTAGAACTCAAAGTTTCCCAGTCTAGCCTGCTACCTTAACCACTATGTCAAACTGGTCTCATTGTAATGCATACTCTTTTTCACATTTTATACATCGCCCTTTAAAATATTAGCTTCTATTGTTTATTGTCCACCCCATAAAATGCAGTGTAATATTTCCTACAGCTTCAGGCATCAGCAGGCTTGGATCCGGCCACAAGATGTTGAATGCTATTAAATAGCCTTCTCCAACCTGAAAACTTAAGAGTTGTGCTATGGCTCCATCTCCCCAAATTCCTATATTACCTAAGAACTACCTAAGCCGTTTCCCAAACTCATCCGGAGAATATAATACTGAAGGAGGCTTTACAGGAGGCTTCTTTTCAAAAGACTGAAAAGATGAGCAAATACTCATCCATTCTAAGACACTTTTGCAATATTTTGAGCAGTAAGAACCAGCCAAAGCACATGCATACTGAAATTAGTTTGACTTTCAAGTTCTTAGGTTTGGTATGTTCAACAAAATATAACAGGGCCGCATCACCTTTGACAGCCATCCTAGAGCAAAATTCTTTCCAGTTCAACATCCTGCCTTCCACAAGGCTAGTTCGGAAACAGGATGTGGTTGCCAATCCCTTCTCTTAATTCCCTAGCAGTTGATAAGAGCTTTTATTTAAATCTAGAAAGAGCACGTCACAAATATGATTGCTCACTGTTGGCTGGTCTTTGCATGATGCAGAGAATACAAATTGCATTTCTTCAAAGTACCCTGTCTAATTAGTCCATGATTCAGTGTGTTGTGCAAAACCAGAACAAGGATTTATTGACTATTAATATGGGTAAACGTATCATACAAATTGAGCCACTGGTGGCTTTATTGTCCATGATCTTTCTGTTCATTTCCGAAAGGCATTTAAATGGTATCTTTTGGTGAAAAAAACATTTTTAACAAAAAAAGCAAAACAACCTTTTACTAGACAACATTTATTTTAAAAACAAAACAAAGACAAAAAAGCAAGAGATCCTGTTACTGAACATTTCAACCACATTGCTATGTCATTGCAATTTCCTGCCCCTAACAACAGAGTGTGGCCTGCAGCTAAAAATATATATCTGCCTGTCTCTGCTCCACAAAGAAACATATTTGGGCAAAATAAATTTAATATCTAATATAAATACATGTTCACATAAATGTAATATAAGGACATACACTGCTCATATAATAGCATCCTATGTAATATTTCATAGAAGGAAGTATTATCTGTATTGTTAAAAAAAGCTGCAGCCATTAAGCTAATTCTGGTTAATTCTGCAATTCATCCACAAAAATTGAAAGAAAAAGTAGTATTACAGATCATTTCTCTAGTTTTCATACCACTGAAAATTGCCCTAATATAGCACTGTATTCCCAAACTAGTAAAAAAAATGCAAACAGTAGTATACTGTATTTCAAGTTAGAGAGTTAAAAATAAAATTTTATTATTTCAGTATATCATAGTTTCATTAAAGTTCTTCTGCAGATGATTCTGCAGAATTAAGAAAACAAGAGACTAAGTTTATGTGTTACACTAGCTAGTTCCACAGATTCAATGGGGCTCATTTCCAAATTCCCTTACCTGAATTTGGCATATTCTTGTGGCCTTCTATTCCAGGTACAGTTTTGTAATTTATCAACTATTTGCAAATAATAATCTTCAGAATATCTAAAAGAAAAAGAATTAAACACATAGCAATGAAACAGAGTTATATTAACGTTTCTTTCCCAACATCTGATGAAATAGACATATAGAGTTGAAAGGATGTGCTTGCTAAGAAAAATCCTGGTCTCCATGGTAAGAGAAAAAAGTTTGCAGTAACCTATTGCAAAGTTTTACTTTCTTTGTGACTTGTTATCAACCTATGAAAATTTATCTTCTTAGGACTGCCATATTGCTTCTAGCTTGCCTACAGTTGCGAGAGGGGAGGGAAGCGGGAAGAGCTTGGGATCCACAGATGTTCCCTATCAGTGTGAGAACAGAAGCTGCTGAAAAGATGTTTTGGGAGTAGAAGTTTTCTTCTCATAACAACTGCTGGAAGATTAATTGGACAGTGTGACCTGAACTGTCAGAGAGGGAGGGAAAGTTTTACTCTTTTAATTATCTGTTTCCCGCCATACTGCCAGAGCTAGCTTTCCTTCTATCTGCCGGTATGGTATGCTTGATTAAAGTTTACATTAGAGATCGCCACTTTGTTGGGCTCTTCAGCCAGGATTTGACATTAAGCTAGCCCTTTTTTCGACTTAATTCTATTAAGTCCTGAGCCCCTACGCCCTTTCTGGTAGCCTCCAGAGGGGTAGTGAAAACTCAGGAGAAGATGCCTGAAATGGAACAACCGGCTGGAGCCAGGTGGGGTCAATCAGTGGGACCCCAGATGGGGCTGAAAGCAGCTTCAGAACCCCACCAGCATCTACATGCCCCAAAGAACAGGTTGAGCGGAAGGAGCCGATCCCAGTCCTGGAATGGACGGGTTGAGCAATCATGTTCAATCAACCCAAATTGGAGAAGCGGTGAGAGGGACTGTGAAAGGCCGCTGAAGCCGAATTTCCATTGTACTACCTTCAACCTGAACTGGGCAGAGAACTGTAGTGGTGGGAACAAAGAACCTCAGAATGGCCAGCACTGAGAGAGCTCTACTTGCCGGTATGTGGCAACCAGTCAGTGGATCAACTGAGGCAAAAGTCCAGCAGCTTGGAGGTCCGAGGAGAGGAGTTGGTCCCACGGCAGGATCCCAGATCCCAGTGGGGGCTTGGTTCCACTCCCAGAGCTGACACCAGTCCCTTCACCCCAGCACTCAGCAGGAGTGGCGGCTGTGGTGGTTGGAGGAGCAGCTACCCTGCAACTGGGGCTGTTTCTGCAGTCCGACCCCAGTCCAGGGCTGAAGGCTCACAGTCTGCTATCGGTGCCTGCTTCTCAACCTGGGCGAATAGACTGGTGACCACCACCAGCCCCTGGGTATGGAGCTCATCCATGGATGTACCTGTATGGCTGAGTTTGGATACTGGAACCCTGGCCCACACCAAAGCTGCCTCTGCTCCAGCCACTGAAAGCAACTTTTGATGGGAACCCCGAGAAACTGGCATTTTTCCTCAACCAAGTCTGGTCCTATTTTGACCGACATGGAGTGGAATACCCTGGTGACAAGGCTCGAGTGGATGTCGTAGTGGCCAGCCTCAAATGAGAGGTGGCAGAATAGGTGACAGATCTCCATGATGAAGATGTTTTTGAGCTGACTCATCCGGATGCATTTTTCTGCAGCCCCAGAGCCCACACAAACCCAACGAGCAGAGACAGAGGCCTGGAATGTCACAGAAATTTCAGAAATACTGAGGAGAAACAGGCCCAACAGAGATTTCAGAAATACTGAGGAGAAGCTGAGGCACTGGCTGTAGAAGCCCCTGGTCCAATACTTCTGAGAGGAACTAAGCCGCAACCTATTTCACCTGTGCCTAGCCCAAAGGATCCCAGACTGGTTCAGTGATGGTAGCAGTTGGCCACCACTGTGGAGCTAGACCTGGCAGTGTACAAAGCCTTGGAAGTTTTGGACTGGTCACTAAGTCAGGAGAGGCGCACCTTAGGGAGAAATCAGCCAGCAGCAGAATCTCTGGTCCCTGTGGGACATCTGGTTGCACCCCCCATGTGCTTCCGCTATGGCCAGGAGGGCCATAGGCCAATGATGTGCCCGGCTCCAACCCCCCAGAGGCTCCCGTAGTCCTGACTCCCTTGAAGCTTAAGAAGAATCCACTTTATGGCTGCCCCAAAGGGGCCTGGCCAGGTTAGCCAAGTGGGGCCCTGGATCTATTGGGAAAAAAACTCCAAGCGAGTAATTATGAGGAAGCAAGGCCTAAGCTCCTCTTTTGAGAGAAATGAGCAGGCTGGGAAGGGGGGGGGGGTTGAGGAAAACCCTTGAGCAGAGCAAGGGAGCGTCAGAGAAGGGGGAGGAACAGCAGCCAGTCCTGAAGGAGTACCGAGACCTCATGGGGGCATTAACCTTAACCGAATGGGTAGATTCGTTCCAACGTGTTTGGAGCGATGGAAAGAAGGCTTTAGCCAAAGCAGCCGAAAGTCAGAAAAAACAAGCAGATAAGAAGCGAGCTCCCCAGGAGGTATTCCATGTAGGGGATAAAGTGTATCATTTATTAAGTATCTTAAGTTGAAACAAACTTGCAAGAAGTTAGGGCGGAGGTACATATATCATAAAAATCATCAATCCGGTAACAGTAAAACTCAAACTACCAAGAATATTGGGTAAAGTGCATCCAGTATTCCACTACAACTTACTGAAACGGTATCGGGGAGACCAATAGGGAAGGCAGCCCCAGCCCCAATAATGGTAGAGGGGAAGCACATTATGAGGTCAAATGAATTCTCGATTCTAGAATCCAGAGGGAAATTACAGTACTTGATCCAATGGGAGGATTATCCATTGTCAGAAACTAGATAGGTAAAAGCTCATCATGTAAAAGCAGATTGTTTGATAACGCAATTCCACACTAAGTACCCTCGGAAGCCGGGGCCTGTGCAAGGGAAAGGTTAATGAGTGATTATGTGTACTCCTTTTTGTTTTCCTCCTCTTTAGGGGTCCAGCCTATCAAGATACGAAGATGTATTTTATTGGGACTGCCATATTGCTTCTAGCATGCCTACAGTTGCGTGAGGGGAGGGGTAAGCTTAGGATCCATAGATGTTCCCTATCAGTGTGAGAGCCGAAGCTGCTGAAGAAATGTTTTGGCGAGCCAAAGGTATCTTCTTATAACAACTACTGGAAGATTAATTGGACAATGTGACCTGAACTGTCAGAGAGGGAGGAAAAGTTTTACTCTTTTAATTATCTGTTTCCCGCCATATTGGCAGAGCTAGCTTTCCTTCTATCCGCCAGTATGTTATGCCTGATTAAAGTTTATATTAGGGATCGTTGTGTCTCCGGTGTTTTACTTCGTTGGGCTTTTCAGCCGGGATTTGACACTTGTATTTTATTTATTTATGTTTATATAGCTGTCCATCTCATAACCAACTGACTCTGACAGCACAGAACAAAATTAAAATAGAACTAAAAGTCTAAAACAGGCGTATCCAATCTTTTGGCTTGCCTGGATCACTTTAAATGAATTGTATATAATATAGTTAATGTATAAAACCGGCCTGTACCACTCGTGCCGGCAGAGGAGGCATTCTGCGGGTCCAGTCAGCCTGATTATTCTGGCTGGTGGGGTCTACCAGGAGGGCCTTCTCTGCTGTTGCTCCTGCCCTCTGGAACATTTTGCCCCCCGTCAATGTGAGGTGGGCCCCAACACTCCTATCTTTTCATAAGACAGGATAAATATAGATAAAGATGTGTGTTTGCCAGTCAGTTTGGCGTACCAGTGGGGAAACAGTGCAATGGGGGTGATTGATTGATTAATATCAGATCCCACTTCTCCTCCACCCCACCCCCCCCCCCCCCCCC